CACACACACACACACACACACACACACACACACACACACACACAAAGAAGTGGGTTGCAGAACCACAGCAGGTGTGTTTCTCGGCAGAGGGCAGGTGGAGCAGCTATCGGAGCGGATAATGAGCGCGGCAGTTCTGCACAGCGGGCAGGCTAAAGGTGAGCGGCAAAGCGGGGGGTGATACTGACATAACAGACACATGTGATATAAGGGCGGTGAGGGGACATGGACCTGGTGTTTGTGAGGGTCGCAAAATGTCAGGGTTGTTCAAGTCAATAGGTGTTATAAATAAACGGTTTGAGAGTCACACATTTGCGGTAGTGAGACAGAGCCTTTTTTCACAATATATAATGACCTCGCTAAAGGGGAAGGTCAAGTGTTTTGCCTCGGTCTGTCTGACTACGGAAAATCTACTGACCTATTTTGTTATACCTAACTATGCTTTACTTCCATAAACATTGGAAGCCTAGGATTTGTTTTTGCTGCTTTCTTGTAGTGTAGTGTGTCTGTCACACATGAACGTCCATTTTGTTTCCATTTTATGATTTGAAACTCATCAACACACCAAAGTTTAGAGAAAAGACTTACCAACTCTGAGATATAATAATTTAGGTATTCAAGTTATCGTCTGATCGAGCCTACTTTGCATAACACTTCATGTGTTTAATACCTCTGCCATGTGGCTTTGATAACTAAGAACTCACTTACGGTGAGTTGACATACAAATATTAAAGACCCTATTTGTTTTTTCTGTTTTGCAACAGACTCTTTCCTCAACAATATTTTTTCAATTGCTTCACAACAGAGGGGAATTACAAATGACAAAATATGGCTGAGGGGGGACTCTGAAGACCTCCATGGCAACAAAGCCTGTGACATCAGGACAGCTGTATTGAAGGAGAACATATGCAGATGGGGAGTTTTTCAGAGATGAAGAGCAGATAGGGAAGACCGGCAATTGCATTCAGTATTTTTATCCAAAATAAAATAATAATAATAATAATAATAATAATAATAATAATAATACATGGGACTTATATAGCGCTTTTCTGGAAACTCAAAGACGCTTTGACAGAAACAAAGAAATACAAAAAGAGATGAACAAAACGGTTCAGTGGTTGAATGCAGTGTTGAACAGGTGGGTTTTGAGTGATGTTTTGAATGCTGTGAGGGAGGAAGAATCTCTGATGGATTGGGGTAGTGAGTTCCAGAGGGTGGGTGCAGCAACGGAGAAGGCTCTGCCTAAAAGATGAAAACAAGTTTGTTCACTACTTCTGTTCCTGTGTCTGACTCGTCATATGGGATGCTACACTATCTTTATCATTTAAGCATTCTGATTTTATTTTGCATGTCATAAACCATTTTTGACACAGTCATTCTAAGATAAGCCAATATATTTCCTTTTATAGATTACTGAAAAACATATAACTGAATTATTCTGAACCTCCACGTCATCATATCTGACAAAAGTCCCTTCAACCCATTTTCAACTGAAATGCTCAAATAAAAAGAAATAGGAAAAAAAAGTAAAAAATATGAAGGAAATTCTCCATCTTTCAACAACATACCAAAGGTAAAACAAAGACATGCCTACACGTTTCTACAGCATCGCATCAGAGAGGTGGAAACACGTCTTCTCAGATCACTGATGCTCTGCCTCAGGGAGGGAGCGGTAGAGTGACGCATGTGTAATCTGAGACGCTTTGTTTGTTGTTCACGTCCAAGACACAGGAAGAGCCGTAGTATGGGGATGTTTGAGATACATCTGTAGCTAAGGGTTTGTTCAAGGTTGTATTTATGGATAGAAAACGTTGCAGATATTGCCACAAAACCAACCTGCAGGTAGACGACTCCCAGAGAGTCTTTAATCGCTGGTTTTATTTGGAGTCACGCTCTGTCTTCCCACGGCTTGCCGTCACTGCGACGTTTAATTGCTGCCACGTCCCTGTCAGTGTGACCTGCTCACGTGGCGAGCCCCCTCATTCCTGATTTCATCAAAGATTGTTCGCCCTCATAATTATTTTCTTTCTTCTCCCTCCCTTGATCGTCATGGCTTCTATTTTTAAATGCCACGAGGCCTCTCTTTTAAATTTCCCTGCAGGTATTGTCTGACCTTTTCACATGTTTATATCGACTTCTTTCAACCCCCATGACCCTCAGAAAGAAAGGCAAAATGTCAGTGGGAATAGAATAGCGAGTGGAATGGTATTAAGGGTTGGGAATTAACATTGCATGGGTTAGGGTTAGGGTTAGGGTTAGGGTTAAGCCTATGCAAGACTTCATGAAAGAAATCCCAGATTCACTCACATCCAAAATATGAAGTCTCCAGGTTTGGCCTTTTATTCTTCTGTTAGCTCCTGTATTCTGTCCGTTATTTCTTTAACACTGCCCAAATGGTTGGGGTCAGCAAAGACATTTATCAGACATCTCTGTTCCCAACTATTTACTCCATACCAAGCCAAGGTTTAGGACACTGGATGTCTCCTGTAAACCTCCTTTCATCTACATCCAACCTCACTCATAGTCATGTCGTCAAATCATTCCAACGTCAATTTTCTTTTTACGACTATTGGATCTGCTATTTGAGGATCAAGGGTTGGCCATAGATCAGGTACAGATGACTGGATTCATGTCACAGATCAGATATGTTGCTGCACATGTGGCGCCTCGCAAAGAAGTCAACAGTGGAAACATTGACTTAAAGCACCGTTAGGGTGCGGACGAAAGGTCAAAACAAGTAGTCAAAACGACCCGTGTAGGTGTGGACTAAGCCTTAGAATGAATATGTTTAAATTGGGGTATATGTGTGCTTGTGATTAGGAAATAAATGTCGACTTATTTTGTTTTCAGTATTCAAGATATTACAAGTGCAGACTGGCCTTGGCAGGGTGAGAAGTTCTATGCAAAGAAGCACAGGTATGAATGTATTACTCTCTGCATTATGAGGTGATTTC